TATTCATAACACAAAACAGAAACTTAATGTCCAGTAGGTGATGAAGCAATCAAATGTGGTACACATTCAGAGTAGCATATTACTTAGCAATACATAGGAAATACTTGGGGCAATTTTGAGATAGTTCAGAAGGTAAAGGTATTTGCCATCATATCTGGCGCCATGACTTCAATCCTTAGGACCCACACGTTATTTTGATGGCCACCACACACACAAACACACACATATGAATAAAGAAATGCTTTAAAAAAAAAAAGTACTGCTAGACTACAATTCAGATGATCTATGAAAACATTCTAAGGCAAACACAGCACAAAACCTAATCCCAGCACTAGGAAGGCTGAGGCAGAAGACAGCAAACTGAAGGCTAGCCTGGACTCTACAGAGAGAACTTGCTTCAAAAACTAAAACAAGGGAGAGTATAGGATTTCTCAGGGGTAAGGGTGGGGGGTAGGGAGGTGTTACATAAGCCTAAGAATGTTCTTTTAAAAATGATGTCAATTACAGCTTAAAGGAACCAATTGAACAGTCTCTGAATTTTTTATTTATTTATTATTCATTTATTCATTCACTTATTTATTTATTTATTTATTATTGATTGATTGATTGATTGATTGATTGGTTTTGAGACAGTGTTTCTCTGTGTAGCTTTGGTGCCTGTACTGGAACTGGCCTTGCAGACCAGGCTGGCCTCGAACTCAAGAGATTCATTCACCTGCCTCTGTGTCCCAAGTGCTGGGATTCAAGGCATGTACCACCACCGCCTGGCTTTGAAATCTTAAATTATGCTGTTAAAGTTAATTCTCTGCTAATTAGAATCTTCACATCAGTTCTTGGTAATTCTTTAGAGCACATAAAACACTAATCTCAGGGACATATATCCTGTGATACTGGCTCAACCTAAGATGAGATGCTGTCCAGAAAAATACAACAGAAACCACAGAAATGATTTCAAACATTCAAGCAGACACACTAGAAAAGTAGAGACTGAGGATAGCATGGTGGTAGAGCACATAGCACAAGAGGCCCTGGGTTCAAACCCCAACACCAGAAAGAAGTCAGATTCACATTTACATATTATTTAATGTAGTGTGTGCAAAATATTATTTTAACACTTACTATCTCTAAAGTCTATTAAAGTTTTTGAAAAATACCAAATTCCCCAAACCTGGCTGATATTTCATAGCTACAATATAGCTTAACTCAGTGCGCAACGACAATTTTACAAGCTCAACACCCGCATGCGGCTCTTAGCATTAAGATGAGCATGGGAGTTTCATACCCTGCACGGCATCATGTCAATGTTACTTGTAATGACCTAGAAGTATGTAATCTCCCTCATCAAAGAAGGGCTCACATTTAAAAGTTATGCACAAGCTCCCCTCCATTCTCTCTCTCCACCAATACACACACACACACACCCTTTTGCCTTTTGACCAAGAATCCTGGAATTCTCAAAGCTGCCTGCTCATAAGTAGCAGAAAAAGTCTCATACACAAAGCCACTACACATTTGCCTTTTCAAAATCTATTTTATAAAGAATCTTTATTAATGAAACCACTGTGGAATATAAACTGTTCCAGTTACTCATAAATAACAAATTAAACATTACACAATTCATTCTAGCTACTCCATGAAAAAAAATGTTTTTGCTCTAATTTGGGTAAAATTTCAAGCTTTATTAATACATATAAAACAAGTAATACTTATTAAATGCCAACTGTACATGGTACTGCATAGAAATCTTGTTTCTATTTGTTGGTTATACACACACACAAAAAAAAAAAATCAAGAATTAAGCTGGGCCTGGTGGTGCATGCCTTTAGTCCTAGCACTCAGGAGGCAGAGGCAGGCAGATCTGAGTTCCAGGCCAGCTTGGTCAACAGAGATCCTGTCCCAAAATTAAATAAAAAGAAATAAAAATCAGCTGGGTGTGGTGGCACATGCCTTTAATCCCAGTACTCAGGAGGCAGAGGCAGGTGGATTTCTGAGTTCAAGGCCAGCCTGTTCTACAACGAGAGTTCAAGACAGCCAGGGCTGTTTCACAGAGAAACCCTATGTGTATGTGGGATTTAAATTACTTAATTTACAAATTACTGAGGAGGTTTAAGATAATTCATCTAATTAACTATAACAGTCACAGAAAATGGGGTATTGAAGCTGGGAGATGGATCAATGGGTTAAGCACTTCACCCAAATATAAGGGGGACCTAAGTACAAACCCTCAGAACCAAGTCAGGCCTGCAATCGAAGTGCTCATACAGTGAGCTACCACAGACAGGGATTATGAAACAAACAAGACGACCCTATCACAAAGCAAGGGGGAAGGCAAAGAAAGATGATACCTGAAGTGGTCCTCCAACCTCCACAATCCTGAGACTCTGGATATGTCTCCCCCTTTCCCTCTCTCACACACAACACACAAAGATTTTTAAGAGAGATTTCCTACCATAATGAAACCCATTACTTTGTGTGCTAACACATGTTTTTAATGTGATTTGCCAGCCAGGAGGAGGTGGTGGCGCACACCTTTAGTCCCAGCACTCCGGAGCAAAGGGAGGCAGATCTGAGTTCAAGGCCAGCCTGGTCGGCAGAGTTCCAGGACAACCAAAAATCATTCTTTTCCTCCTTCCCCTTCATAGGTTAAGAATTTTCAGAATCAAATAATTCCCAACATCAGCCTGCCACTTAGGATGTGGGGGTGTGCTGGGGATTCAACCAGGGTCTCCTGTATCTGAACCACATGCTCCAACACTGAACTATGCCCCAGCCTCTTCACAATTACTAACTACTAGGTATTTTTAAAGGAAATCCTACTGCCATCAAACATTGCTCATTGACAAGCTTTAATGTATAGCAAGTATCAAATCTAATAAATTCTGTAAAAAAATTTTATCTTTTTCTTGTATATGTTTCTAAGTGTACTCTCCTCACTCAGCAGTTTGATGTGTTTTCAGTTTGTGGTGCAAGGGTAGTAAGCTTTCAACTTTTATCATATTTTCTGTTTCCACAGAAAACAGACAAAACTTTAAACATTAACCAATATCAGAATAAGTGACTTTAAGAAAGCTTTAAAGTCATTTTTAGTTACAGCACAGTAAAATATAAACTTCCATGGAATTTAAAGTTTTAGTGCCACTATTACAAAAAAATCTTACAAATGTTCATATAAATAATTTTTTCTATTTATAAAATATTATTTCTAATGTCCTGAAGTAAAAAGTGGAAGCTTCAGGATGATGGAAATCTAAACTGGGAGTCTCAGACTCAAGAGCTTCATAATTTAATATTAGCTACACATTCATTAAACAGCTACAATTAAAAACAAAAAAACTGTTCATAGCAAATATTAGCAAGGATACAGAGAGACAGAAACACACACCCATATGCTGTTGACTGCTTCTTATAAAACTAAACAAAACTGGACAGGCGTGGTGGTGCAGGTCTTTAACCCCAGCACTTGGGAGGCAGGGGGCAGAGGCAGATGAATCTGTGAGTTCAAAGCCAGCCTGGTCTACAAAGCAAGCTCCAAGGTGAGTTCCAGGGCAGCTGGGACTACATGATGAAATCCTGTCTTTAAAAACAAAACAAAACAAAAAAACAAGCAGGGCATGTTTGCGCTCGCCTCTGATCGCAGCACTAGGGAGGCAGAGGCAGGTGGACCTCTGTGAGCTTGAGACCAGTCTGGTCTACAGAGTTCCAGAACAGCCAGGGCTGCTACACAGAAAAACTGTCTCAAAAAACCAACCAACCAAACAAACAAACAAAAAACCCCAACAACAACAAACTAAACAGAACTATTCTAATGCAGAGAAAAGGATATAGTCTCAAAATGATTTATTTGAGGCTGTTCACAGGAACTGCAAACCGGCTGAAAAAAGACCCGGGGCAGTAAGTACACTGGTACATTCAAGGTATGGAAAACCACAGTACTGAGCTGGGGACATGGTTCAGTGGTAAAATGGAGCCTGGGCCTAGTATGCAAATCTCTGGGGTAGGGGGAGTGCAAACACTCACAAAATAAGTGGAGTGAGGGAAAGAAGGAAAAAAAAAAAAAAAAGCCTTACCCAAACGATTGCACTATATGTGACTCTGCTTATGGGAACTTCTGAACAGGCAAACTCAATCTCTGGTGGGGGAAAAAAAAATCCCCACAGGAGTGACAAAAAGTGACTTGAAAAGAAAAGGTGAGACCAAACCTTTCTAGTCAACTCTAACAGGCTACACCTAGTTGTGTGCTGACACAGGTGTAGATGGATTTGTGAAAACTGGCGAAGGCAAACCACGTGCATCTCATTGCACCTCAAATCTATTTGGAATAAATCTTTCAAAACAGTTGTTCTCAAGTTACTAACATGCGCTCGCCTTATGTGCCTTATCAGATAATGCTGATATTTATAACTTCGAAGTGTATTTTAGAAATAAGAGACGCATAAAACAGCAAATGCAGGAAAATGTCAATGGTGTGTGACGCACAGACATGCTGAAAAACACAAAAATGTTAAAACTTTTTTTTTTTTTTTTTTTTTTTTTTTTTTTTTTTTGGTTTTTCGAGACAGGGTTTCTCTGTGCAGCTTTGCGCCTTTCCTGGGACTCACTTGGTAGCCCAGGCTGGCCTCGAACTCACAGAGATCCGCCTGGCTCTGCCTCCCAAGTGCTGGGATTAAAGGCGTGCGCCACCACCGCCCGGCAAAACTTTTTAATAGCGTTAACAAACAAGGAATGATGATTCAGTCAACAAGAGTTTCTCTCAGCTGATGCCACACACCCTCCTGCTTCACAAAAAACGGCTTCACCTTTGGAACGAGATAAACGTTCAGAGAACTTGAAGGTCCATTCCAGTGGTTAACTGCTTCCTCACACAAAACTGCACAACGTTTGAGACTGTCAACAATTCAAGTGCTCTAGAATGCGTTGAAAAGATAAATTTGACAAATTCTACCAAGGCTCTTAATTAGTTGCAAAATTTATTTTCCTGAACAGAGTTTAAAGCTTAGTAAAACTCGTTTACTAAGATTTCCCATTAACACCAATTTTGTTTCCTTGCGTTCGGTTGCAACCACTAATATCCAGCCAGGTATAGCTCTCGTCCCCCTAAAACCAAACAAAAAACCTATCCAACGACTGCAGCTAAGCGATGACGACTGTATTGAAACAGAAACAGCAAGTCGCCTATGAATCAAAGTCATTTACTTTCCCCCTTCGGGCGTGAGCTATTACAATGTGACTGAAAACAATTCCACGTCATAATTTTTATATAAAAGGCTGAAAGGTGGGAAAGACTTCAGTATTCAAAGCTGAGAACTAAACCTCACGTGCTTCTCACCCCCAAGCCTCTCCGATTCGCAAGCAGGTAAAACAATGACCCCCCCACCCAGCCCGACCGAAGGCCGAGCGCCGCCCGCGCCCAGCCTCCCCCCAGCGCCCGGCTCCTTTGTGAGGAGAAGGGTCCCGAGGCCCGGAGCTCGTCGGCCGCGGCGCGGCCCAGCCCAGGCCGCGCGGCCCGCCCGTCCAGGCCCCGCAGAGCTCCCGCAGCGGAACCTGGCGGGGCCGCCGCCCGGCCTGGCCTCCCCAACGCCGCCCTTCCCTCCCCGCCGGCGACACGGCGGCTGCCCGGCCCGGGACCTCACCTGCTGGACCGAGCTGTTCTCGGGCACAGCGAACTCCTCCTTCTCTTTCGGCGTCTTCACCGTGACCTTCATGATCTTGGGCTCGGCGGGGCCGCCGTCGGCCGCACTGTCCTGCGCGCCCGGGGGGCCGCCGCTCTCCGCGCTCTCGGCCATGGCGGTGACTCAGGCGACCGGGACGCTGGGGGCTGCGGCCGAGTCCGCGGGGCGCGGCAGGCTGCGGGGCCACCGAGGGCGCGTAGACGCGGGCTGCGGGTGCGGGTGCGGGCCCGGGTGGGCGACCGGCTGCCGTGTGGACGCGGGGACTCTCCGCGTCGCCGCCGCTTCCTCCTCCTGCACCTCCCCCACGTCCGTCGCCGGCGCCGCGCAGGGCACGCTGGGTAACGCGCTGGCCGCGGCGCCGACTCATGGCGGCCGGTGGCGCGAGGCACGCCGGGTAGCGCGTTGGCGAAGGAGCCGAGTCATCGCAGGGCTCCCTCCTTTCTTAGCTGGTGGACGAAGCGCGGCCTCCTCCTCCAGTTCGAAGGAGCGCTGGGCTCGGCGAGAGAGCATCACTCAGTTCGCTTCGCCCACCCTTCGTTCAAAGAAAGGAGTCGGGGATTCTGGACGGCACCATGATGGTGCACTAAGATGACGTCAGGCCAGCGAAATTGCTAGAAGCGGCCTGGCGCACCGGTGCTCACGTCCCGGTATCCTCCCGACCTGGTCCCCGTGGGCGTCGGCCTACAAAGAGCGGCGAGTTACTTTGTTCTAATACGCCCGGTGTTTGCCCGGGTAAAGGGGGCTGGAACTGTCCTGTTTCGTGCTCAGGGGTTGCAAGCTGAGTCACTGGAGGAGAAGGGTCTTCCGATGGCCTCGAGATTGTTTCAGTGAGGCCAGAGCTTCCCTCCCTGGAGGCAGACCGGTTTGGGCAAGATAGCGCAACCCTTGTTTGTCTTCCAAGCTGTGTGGGACAGAAACAGGATGCCCAGGACTGTCCACCCCACGGGTAGGATTTAGCCTAGCTGATGCGTGCCTTTAGTAGTCTGTCCAATTAAGTTACTGTACCCCTCAGGCTTGAGGTGGATTCGGGGATAATCGTTGAAAAATATTTTCAGTATAATGTAGGTACAAATAAGCTATTTTATGTGTGAATCCCACGTCATTTATTCATAAAGATAACTTGCAATACATCCTGGCAGTTTATATTAATCAGCATTTCACAAATGTGAACCCTGACAGCATACTGTGACCCAAATATGCAAAGACATTCCATATTTCTGCTCTTGGGCCATCGAACCCTGTTCTATGATCAACTACTGTTGCATCAACACTTCTGAGCAGAGCCCTTTGAAATCTGGGTCAGAGTTTCAAAGGTATAAATTACAATACAGGTATGATTTGATATCACTTAAATGCCTGCCAGCATTGTTCAGTAACAGGAAGAAGTTACAAGGCTTATGTCCAGGTATAAGAAGAGTGTTACTTCTTGGGGTAGAAAGTTCCACCATTGGGCTAGCAAGCATTTGGGAATTTTTCTCCTGTATATTTAAGTAAAATTTCTTCCCAATTTCATTAGTTCCCTGTTGCTGTCTTGTTTTCCTTCATGGTGTATTCTCCCTGTTTATTTTCCCTAGGCTGCCTCTCATGCCCACAGTGACCTCTCTTACCTTCCCCTGCCTACCTTTATTTATTCTTATATCACATTCCCCTGAAAGTCTTCAGTCCCTTGCCCTTTAGAAACCTGAATTCTTGTGCTCTAATAAATCGGCTGTAGATAACCTCTAACAGTGTACATATGGAATAGTCTTGTAATTGTCCATTTTGTCTGTTTTTTTTTTCCTCTTTCTTTCTTTTTTTTTTTTTGTTTTTTTTTTAAGACAGTGTCTCTGTGTTGCCGTGGCTGTCCTGGAACTCACTCTGTTGACCAGGCTGGCCTCGAACTCACAGAGATCTCCCTGCCTCTGCCTCCTGAGTGTTGGGATCAAAGGTGTGTGCCACCACCACTCAGCCTATATTGATTTCTAAAAATTTCTAATATAACATGTTGTGAATGACTGTTCTCCCAGCCAAGCAAGCAACTGCCACCTTTGGGGAGTTCAGCTGCATTCTCTTGGAAAAGGTTGATCCCAGCTAGTCTTGACTGTCACAACCCATCATGGGATGGTAGGTAGAGTCACAAGATCTGTTTGCAACGCTGCCCTAATTGTATACAGGTTAATGTACAAGGAAGGGCTAGGGTAAATAGGCCCTGAAGAGACTTAGGGGAGAAGGCCCCATCTATGTGACTAAGTGAAGGCCCTCACCACTGCTGTGTAAAGGCATTCTGGGAGCGTCTGCATCCCTGTAAGGAACCCCTCGCCTATGCTGTGTAAGGAAGTACAATAAACTCACAGGTTCTCCCAAGTGAACTTTGGTGGAATCATGCCTTGGTTTGTTGAGACCTTAGAGGAGGTAGCCATTGCTTCTGTTGTCCCCTGGGAAGGAATTTTCGCAATATGGCATATTTATGAGTATTTAGTGTATTGCTTTCTTCATTGCTTTAATCAAAAGGTAGGTACAAAAGATGAGCCTCACTGATGCCTTAGGTGTGTATAAGCAGGTTGATAATCAAAATTAACCATCACAGTCAAGAAGATAGGGTGTCTTTAATTGCCCATCATCATGATGTTAACCTGACAGAATCATAGATTATAAAGGACCATTGGCAATGTGGACAGGGATTTTCTAGATAAGGGATCTGTAAACTTTCTCCAAGGATGGGGGTCCAGTAGGCCATACATTCTCTCTCCAAAATATTCAGTGGGGATACGTTGTTAATCTTTGGTCTAGATGTCTAGAGCCTTTTTTTTTTTTTTTTTTGCAGGGGGGGGTTGGCTTTTATTAAGTGGTTGGTCTAGAGATAATTATAAGAATATATTTCAGGCCGGGCGGTGGTGGCGCACGCCTTTAATCCCAGCACTCGGGAGGCAGAGCCAGGCGGATCTCTGTGAGTTCGAGGCCAGCCTGGGCTACCAAGTGAGTCCCAGGAAAGGCGCAAAACTACACAGAGAAACCCTGTCTTGAAAAACCAAAAAAAAAAAAAAAAAAAAAAAAAAGAATATATTTCAACTGTTCTACATTTAGTTGAGTACAATTGATTCCCAAATACTGAATCAAGGATTGATGGATAGCATTTCCCAACTTCCTTGCAAATGTCCAATTTAAACTACCAACTTGAGGTCACTGGGGAATTAACCATTCAGCTCTCACAAGCTAGTTTGAGCAGCTCCAACTAGGTAGTGGCTCATGGCTTTCGTCCCAGCACATGGGAGGCAAATCTCTGATTTCATGGGCAGTGTGGTCTATAGAGAAAGTTCTAGGACAGCTAGGGCTACACAGAAAAACCTTGTGTTGGGGGGAGTATTCCTTGACAACATGAATTAAGAGTTTATTGTGCACCATTTACCAAGTTTATTCTAAGCCTGTGTATAAGAATTAATATAACAAACACAATGTCATTTATATGTCAGATAGATAAAAGTAACATGCACTCTATGTTACCCCCTGTGCTAGTCTCTCCCCCCCCCCAGACAGGGTTTCTCTGTGTAGTTTTGGTGCGGGTCCTGGATCTCACTCTGTAGCCCAGGCTGGCCTCAAACTCACAGAGATCCGCCTGGCTCTGCCTCCCGAGTGCTGGGATTATAGGCGTGCGCCACCACCGCCCGGCCCTGTGCTAGTCTTATGTCAGCTTGGCACAAGCTAGAGTCATCAGAGAGGAAGGAACCTCAATTGAGAAAATGCCTCCATAAGATCAGGCTGTAGGCAAGCCTGTGGGGCATTACATTTTCTTAATTAGTAATTGATGGGAGAGGGCCAGCCTATTGTGAGTGGGGCCACCCCTTAACTGGTGGTCTTGGGTTCTACAAGAAAGCAGGTTGAGCAAGCCATGAGGAACAAGCCAGTAAGCAGCACCTCTTCATGGCATCTGCATCAGCTCCTGCCTCTTTGAGTTCCTGTCCTGACTTCCTTTGATGATGATGTGTAAGTGGAAGCCAAATAAACCCTTTCTTCTTCAAGTTGCTTTTGGTCATGGTGTTTCATCATAGCAACAGCAACACTAACCAGGACACTTCCCTATTGTGCAATCTGTATAAAATAAAGCCCAAGAGCTTCAATAGAGGCAGGAGGATCTGAAGTACAGATCATCTTCAGCTGCATAGTCTGAGGCCTACCTAGAAAAGAAAAAGAAATGGCATTTTATGAAAGTTCTTTTAGTTTCACATCTGTGTAATATTTAAGATAAATCTTAGTGTAGTATTGCCAAGATCCCATTATAAACTTACATTTAATTTCAGTTGTATTTTGTGACCTTGTTTTTTTTATCTAGCTGGGATATACTTAGGATTTGGGAAGAGGCCTAAGAATATCCCAGTGAATCTTCCTGTGGCATCTATTAAACACACACCTCCCAGTGCAGTCCATCTCACAGAAGTTGTAAGACTGGTTCTCCTGGAAACTAGGAACACAATGTAACTGCTCTGGTAGGTAGGCTTTGGCTCCAGTCTTACTGGTTTTCAAAATTGCAGGCCTAATAATTTCTTTGCAGATGACAGATTTACCCCAAACAATTGGATTTAAAATGTGTTTCCTGAGCTTCTCTATGTAAAGATTTTGCTGTTATACATTGTGGAAACCATAAGCAGGTGAGCTGTATAGAAATGGTGGACGCTTTGCAGTAACAAAATTTTAAACTGCAAAACAAATT